ATTGGAAGTATAAAGATGAATAGAAAAGTACAGCATAGGGAAGATATTCAATAATATTGTAATAACATTGTATGGTGGGGGCACCTGGCTGGCTCAGTCAGGAGAGCATGCAACTCTCAAACTCGGGGTTGTCCATTTGAGCCCCATGTTGGGTGTAAACATTACTTAAAATCTTTGAAAAATGTATAATGTTGTGGGATGCCTGGGTGGCTCAGACAGTTGAGCATCTGCCTTTGGCTCAGGTCATGATCCCAGGGTCCCGGGATCGAGCCCCACATTGGGCTCCCTGCTCGGCGGGGAGCCTGCTTCTCCCTCTCCCTCTGCCTGCCGCTCCCCCTGCTTGTACTCTCTCTCTCTCTCTCTCTGACAAATACATAAAATCTTTAAAAAAAAAAAATATATATATATATATAATGTTATATGGTGACAGATAGTAACTACACTTATCACGGTGAGCATTGAGTAATGTGTAGAACTGTCAAATCACTATGTTGTACCCCTGAAACTAGTATAACATTGTGTGTAAACTATACTTCAATAATAAAAAAAATTTAAGATGAATAAGGCATGACTCCTGCTCTTATGAGGCTGGGAGTCTAATAAAACTGTAGAAATAGTGCTAAAAGTTAATGGGCGTGTGTCCAAAGTGTTGTGGGGTGACGGGTCAGGGTTGGGGGTGGAAGAGGGGACCCCATGGATCACAGAGAAGATGGTATTTGAGCCAAATCCGGACGAAGGAATGGAGCTTTCCAGGGTGACAAAACACGAGGGGGGACTTCAGAGTGAAGGAATGGCATGTGCAAAGCCACAAAACACAGCCAGATGGGCCATTCAGAAAACCACCAGCAGGCACGTGTGGGTAGAGCAAGGTGAGGGGGAGAGTGGCAAGATCCTGGAAGGATGTGGAAGGAATTTCGAGGTTATCATATGCTCAGTGGGCAACCACAAAGGACTTTAAGCATGGAGGGAGCCTGGAGGGGTGCAATCAGGTTTTCATTTCCAAAAAGAAATGTAAAGTTTGGGGGATGGACCTGAGGGATTAGAAGCTTGGCACAAGGAGGCCAGTTGGAAGGCTGTCAGAGTAATGAAGGTGAGAGAGAAAGCAAGCCCAGATTGAAGAGCAAGTTCAGAGGTAGCAGAGACAAGATAATAACTATAACTATTTTAATAGATGGAGGTCCAAAATGAGGCCACATTTTTCTTTGCATCTTGGACTTCTATTATATCGAGATGGAGCCTGGCATAGGAACTAGGTCTGTAACTGCTACACCCCCTCCTTCCTCTTCTCACCCTGGCTCAACCTCCCTCAATCATCTGGTTTTTATTTACTGCTTTTAATTTATTCTATTTTATTTTTTTTTTACTCAGTTTCACAGATGCTTCAAAAATCAAGAAAGTAGAAGAAGACCATGAAGTCTCACCTGTTCCCCATGCACTCAATTCTCCCCCAACCCACAAAAGGTAACCACGTTTCTAGTTCCTTAGGTATCCTTCCAGAGACATTTTTAAATGTATATCCGAGAAAACAGGATGATACTTTCTTCCCTTTCTCATCTTATTTCTTTTCCTTCTTGAGGTTCCTTCTCAGGGTAAGTTTAAGAAATCCTAAGGGAGCTCATTCAGTCTTAAGGAGTCAGTCCTGGCTATGATTATATCTACTGATAAGCCCTTCTCCTCTGCAGCACCTGAAGGTATAAGAGCCCCAAGGCAGAAAGGCATCCAGCAGGGCGAGGCCTTATCTCATCAGGAGGCCCCTTCCATTCCTGGACCTACTGCAATAATTGAGGGATGCATGCTGGTCAGCACCGGGCAGTCGAGGTGAGACCATGACCACAGTGGGAAGCACAGGCTTCACTGAGGACCCACGGTCTCAGGCTGCGGACAGAGGAGCCCTGCATTATGCTTGGATATGACTGCTCCACAGCCAAGGGGACCCACATTCTCAGTGACCGTTAGCCATTTTCCCTGGGCTCACCCGTGAGGTCAAGTGGCTAGACCACAGGGGACCAGCTCTGGGCACTGCTCCCACAGTTAGCTTTCCAAAAGAGAACCCCTACTCAGGGGCACTGCTGGCTGTTCTTTCCTGCCAGCCGACCTCAGCCCAAGCCACCTCGGGCTGCACCCTGAGTCCAGCAAGGATATCACATTTACTTTGAAAGTAAAAGAAGAGGCTGGGGGCACCTGGGTGGCTCAGTCAGTTAAGTGTCCAGCTCTTGATTTTGGCTCTGCTGGGCTTGGGACCTGCTTAAGATTCTCCCTCTCCCTCTGCCCCTCCCCCTGAAATAAAGAGGAGGCTATAAGTCTTACTGTTTCCTTCCAGAAAGTTCTTGCAGGTTGCAAGGAGGAGCACCACTTGAAAGGAGCACCACCTCATTTCACACACAAAAGCAGCTCAGCCCCAAGGACTTAGGGACACGAGAGGTTTTTGATTTCACATGCTTGGGGCTGAGTTCTTTTCAGAGTATAAAGTGGGTAAGTTTGTGATCATAAAGGAGGAAGACTGAGTTTGGGGAGGGCCAGGGAGGTGAAATCAGTTCTGAACATGTTGGGTTTATCCCTGTGACCTCTCAGCCTCCTATTATAAACATAAATCCTGGCTTTAATGGGGTTTCAAAGCTGCCCACCTGCAAATTTTCTCAAGTCTATACCTTTCATGGTTAACTTTAAGCTTCTCCTGGATTTTCTTAACTAAGAAAGTCATATTCTGGAACTTATTTATACAGGATGTGCAAAACAATACACTGTACAATGCTCACGGGATACAACTTGATACCCACCAAATATAAGAGAGTTTTAGTAATTTTACACAGATATTTAAATGCCAGTGAGAAGGGCACAGCTGTGTAGAGCATGAACTCAGACCTACCAGAGGCTACTGTCATGCCACATATATAATCAGCATTCAGTAACTCAGCTTCAGTATTACTAAGAGCTAACACTTGTAAGTACTTACTAGGTGCCAGAAATTGGTCTCATCATTTTACATACCCTGTCCCTAGGAGGAAGGTATTATTACTGCAGCTGTTTTTGCTGTTAACTGTATTTTGCACAATTGACAGATGAGAAAACGGAGGCCAGTAGCAGTTAAGTGACTTGCTTTTCATCAGTTACTCTGTTAGGATGTCAGTTCGGCTGCTAACAACGCCCAAAGTAACAATGGCTTAGACAAGATAGAAGTTTAATTCTCTCTTATGTTAGTCTCATCATGAGCAGTCCAGGGCTGAGAAGGCAGCTCGACCTTGTCGGGGCGGCAGACTTCTTTCATGTAGCTCTGCCTTCCTTAGGGGCCATGTGATTCCGCTTTGTCAAGGAGGGAGCAACATCTCTTCCCTATTTGCAACAGAGGAAGAAAGGAAAAGGAGGATCCAGCCCGCCCCTTTAAGGGCGTGACCTGAGGTTGTGTTCAGATCCCATTGGCCAGAATGTCATCACATGACCATGCATAGTTGCAAAGCACGCTAGGAAATGTAGTATTCTTTTTTTTTTTAAAAGATTTTATTTATTTATTTGAGAGAGAGAGAATGAGAGACAGAGAGCACGAGAGGGAGGAGGGCAGAGGGAGAAGCAGACCCCCTGCTGAGCAGGGAGCCCGATGCGGGACTCAATCCCGGGACTCCAGGATCATGACCTGAGCCGAAGGCAGTCGCTTAACCAACTGAGCCACCCAGGCGCCCAGTAGTAGTTATTCTTGAAGGTCACATGTCCAGTTAAAATTCAGGGGAAAGGGGGAGAATAGATACTGGAGGACAAATAGTGATCTCTACCACAGTCAGAAGTAGAACTGGGATTTAATCCCAGCATTTTGACTTCCAAGCCAGAACTCTTAACCATTATGCTCATCATACTGTTGTCCAAGAAAAATTACATGAGGGTCAGGAGTTGGTTTGGTCTGAGACTTTTTTTTTTTAATAGATTGAAAAGTCCTACCTTTATTGAAAATTTCATAGCATTGATCAGATATTCCTTTCTTTAATTTAATTTTATTATGTTAGTCACCATACAATACATCATTAGTTTTTGATGTAGTGATCCATGATTCATTGTTTTTGTATAACACCCAGTGCTCCATGCATGTCCGCAATAGCCAAACTGTGGAAAGAGCCGAGATGCCCTTCAACAGATGAATGGATAGAGACTTTTTAAAAAATATCCTGCTTTGTGTATGTGCATGAGGATGCACAAGTGTGAATGATACTGCTTGTAACTCTTCCAGTGAAAACGTTTTTCAATATGGTGTCCACTGAAGGGGAGTCAGGTAATGTTTCCTTTCACTCTGTCCTTATAGACTTTCCATTGTTAGTTTCCTTCCTTCCTTCCTTCCTTCCTCCCTCCGTCTTCCTTCCTTCCTCTCTCTCACTTTCTTTCTTGGCATTTGCCAAATGCCTCACACTCTGTGATGCTTGGTATATTATGCCATCATCAGTTTAATGATTTTCTCTGCCACTGTAGGATTGGGCTTAGAAATCACTCTCCACAAATGAAAATTCCCAATCTTTCATTAGCAAGTGGGGCAAGCTAGGGTAATTTTTAAAAATACTTAGATAGTGTGGGAACTTTCAAAATTAAGATATGTCAAACCTCATGAATTTGCCACAATTCTATAATTTTCATTAAAAGACCAGTTTTATTCATTCCCAAGTGCTCTATTTTAGGATTACCTTAGCAGGTACTATTGAAATCAGGAAGCTTCATAATGGCCCATGCATGTCTAACTGCACTCCGATGCCTCTTTGTTTTCTCACCCCCGGTAAAAGCAACTTTGTCTGAACCTCTCAGGACACTTGAGGCATGTTTTACAAAACCAATTTTAAGTAAGTATTAATTCAATGGAGCCTTCCTGGTGTGGCTCTTTCAGCTGTGCAGAATGCCACAGCAATGAGGAAATTGTTTGTTTCAGAGCAGGAGATGCCGATGCAATGACAGACACTTTCATAAGTCATGTAGCTGGTGGCTGTTCAATCTACATTTCCTGACATTCATAATGGCCCGTTAGCCACTGGACGTGAGCAGTTAGTTAATACTCGGGACTTCATTTTCATAGTGTGTTTAACAATACAGAGTGCTTTTAAATAATTATTTCATCTAATCTTAACAATAACTCCATGAGATCGGCAGGGACATCTTGGCAACATAAGAACATCCTAAACGTCATTCTCACAAGACAAAGGCCTACTCTTCCTACTTTAGAACACGGGTACTCCCCAGTAAGTAGAAAGCACACTTAAATTATATTTTTCTTTCTTTCTTTCTTTCTTTCTTTCTTTCTTTCTTTCTTTCTTTCTTTCTTTCTTTCTTTCTTTCTTTCTTTCTTTCTCTCTTTCTTTCTCTCTTTCTTCCGGTGGAGATGCTGGGGATCAAACCTGGGTCCTCATACAATTAAATTATGTTATTTTCAACAAATATTCATTGAGCCCATCCTGTGGGCCAGGGTGCTATGAAATGTTGGGATGCCACAGATGAACAAGATGCAGTTGCTTCTCTCAAGGAATTCCACCTGTCAGAGGAGAGACGAGAACACCACTCTCTATCATCTGATGCTAAAAGTGCCATAATCCATGTCTTCTGGGGAAGGAGGGTGGGGGAGAGAAGGATTCAGAGAATCGGAGGGGACGTTTTTGCTGAAGTGTAAGTAGGGTTCTGCCTGGCAAGGAAGTGTAGGGAGGACATTCTAGGGAGTGGCCACAGCATGTGTGGGGGACAGAGGCATGGACTATGTGATTTCAGGAAATGGAGAGAAGTGGGTGGCTAGAGCATGGGGGTGGGAGGAGGGATGCATTTGGTTAGGTATATGGTGGAGGGCCTTGTTTACCAGAACTACCTGGTCTGGATTAGTCCTGCAAATCCAGAAGGTGGTAAAGAGTAGATCTAGTTGGGTGTAAGTCCAGACTCCAAGGGCTTGCTGACTTGGGGAAGTTATTTAACCATCAGCTGTAAAATGGAGGTGATACTCATACTTATGGGTTAGTTTTGAGTATTAATGACTTGGGTATGTTAAAGTGCTTAGCACATAGTAAGTGTTGAATAACTGTTAACTACCATCCAGCTAGTATTTCCTTACCTTTTTTGAATCAGACTTCCTTGAGAATGGATGAATCATCTCCCTACACACAATATTTTGGGTGTAATTTAATGGAGTTCACAGATCCCCTGAAACCGGATCCTGAGTTTAAAATCCTGCTATAAGATATAGGGAGTCATCTGAAGTTTTAAAACAGAAGAGAGATGATTTTTTTTAGAGGGAAATACTAGATATTAGAGAGGGGAACCATCTGTGGTTCACAAATCTGACTGCATACTATAATCAGCTGTGGAGCTTTTTAGAAATACCACTGCTTAAACTTCACCCCTCAGACATTCTGGTTTAATTAGTCTAGGTGGGCCTGGGTGTCAGGATTTTTAAAATCTTCCAGGTGATTCTAATGTGTAGCCAGCTTTGAGAACCACGGGGTTAGGCTACCATTGGTCAGCTGGAGAAAAGGAAATAACAGCAGAGTAGGAACAGAAAAGAATAAAGAAGGAAGATTCCAGAAACATTTTGGAGATAGAATCTACAAGGCTGGGTGACCAATTAGATGTAGTGGGAAAGGAGGGTGTGAGGTCACTTCACGAACACAGACAGAAGGGGAAGAGGTGTTAGTGTTCTGTTTATTGCTTATTGCCTTTTCTTTAATATGTAGGAGATCGGCGTGAGCCAGGGGGGAAAAAAAAATGGACTTACTATACGTTCTTAAGTGCAAACTGTGGCTCTAGTTTTTTTTTTTTTAAGATTTTATTTATTTATTTGACAGAGAGAGAGATAGCGAGAGCAGGAACACAAGCAGGGGGAGTGGGAGAGGGAGAAACAGGCTTCCCACTCCTCCAAGCAGGGAGCCCGATGTGGGACTCGATCCCAAGACCCTGGGATCATGACCTGGGCCGAAGGCAGATGCTTAACGACTGAGCCACCCAGGCGCCCTGTGGCTCTAGGTTTTGCTTTGGATATCTCTGACATGCCTGGGGAACATGGAAATGTCAAACAGGCAGCTACAAATACCAGTGTCATCAGTCATCAGTTCATGGCCAAGTGATTATGGAAAGGTATGGCTGAGATCATCCAGGAGAGGGCAGAGAAGGAGACCAGACCACCAGTGGTGGGACTCAGAGGGTCCTGGACTCCAAGGCCACACTGGGGGAGAGGAAAGCATTTGTATGGAATGGTAGAGGCGAGAGTTTCCAGAAGGAGGGGGTGGTCATTGTGTGAAATGCCGCACAGACACTGCTGAGCCAAGGACCTAAAGGAGCAGGCCCTGTGTTTGAGAGGAGGTGGCCGTGGCTTCGGAGACAGTGGCAGGGACAGAAGCCAAATTCCAGGGGGTGCAGACGAGAAAGAAAGTGAGGAAGCATGAGCATCGGTGTAGGAAGTTTGGGGTAAAAGCAATGAAAGCAGTAGCTGCAGGGGAGGAAGGGTGGAGGAACAGAGCTTTATTTTAGGTTGGAGTGGCATTATTGTAGTCTGAGGGGAAGGAGCCAGGCCAGAGGAAGCCATCAAAAATGCAGACGAGGGAGGAGACCTCCCTGGAGCCAGGGTTCAGCTCAGAGGCTCAGGGCTCACAAACACCGGGTGAGGAATTAATTGCTCTTGGAGAGAGGAGTAGGGATGCTTGTTCTTCGAGGTGAAAGTGAAGAAGTTTCCAAAATGGTGTAGGCCTTCTATCTGAGAAGACATCCATGGTCATTTCTGAATCCCTAGTCTCCTTTCCAGGCCCAACTCCCAGAACTCAGTCTGTTTCTTTCTCTCCTCAAATGCTGCCACCATTCCAGGACTTAAGGCTGGCTGGAGAGGGAGCTGTAATGGCTGGGGTTTCCACCTTCTTCACTTTCCCAGAAGAAAAGCATTTGGAGTTGATGGCTGATCACGATGTGTGAAGAACCTAGCTGCGGTTAAGGTTACAGGATCTCACGGCGTCCTTCCCTCACTTTCACTGGTTCTTCTTTTCCTTTCCCAGAGGGTGCTGTCCTCTGCAGTCTGGGTCTCTCATCCTGCACCTTGCTTCCAGCTGCGTGGCCTGCCCACGGATTCCCCTGCCCTTCCTGACTCTCTACATGCTGGATGCCCAGGGCTCTGACCTATGCTCCTTCTCCCCAAGAACACACTCTCCCCGGGCCACCTCCTCCCGTGCTGTCACTTTAAATCACATCCCAGGCCTGACCTCTCACCCCAACACCAGAACTCACCACCTCATGACTGACATTTCCACATGCCCACAGTAGAAGTCTGGATTTCCGCCCCCCATCTGCTCCTGCGCACGTTCTCCACTTCTCAGTGTATGCCCGAGGTATTGGTTCCTCGGTTGCTTAACCAGAACCCCAAAGTCACCCTTGATTCTCCTCTTTCCTGCAATCCATTACTAAGTCCTGTGGACTCTAGTTCCAAAATATGCTGAAATCTGTCCACTTCTCCCCTCTTTCATCTAGTCCAACACTGCTCGCTGTGTGATTTGCAGACCCGCAGCGTCAGCACCCCCTGGGAGCTGGTTAGAAATGCAAAAAGCTTAGAGTCCTCTCCAGAATCAGAAACACAGGGTTTGGGATCCCCCAGAGGATTCTGAAGCCCTAAAGCTTGAGAAGCACTACTCTGGTCCAAGCCTTCATGGTCTCCGCCGGTCCAAGCCACTTCGATAGCCTCCAGCTGGTCTTCATATTTGCTGCCTTGCCCCACTATTAGCTGCTGTCCTCCTAGCAGCCAAAGGGATTGTTTCTAAAATCAATTAAATCAGATTATGTCACACACATACACATGCTCCCATCCCCCACAGCAGTTTCAAGACCTCATAGCTTCCCACTGGGCATAGCACAATCCAGGTTCTCTTTTCAGCTCCTCAGAGCCCTGAGGCGAGTTCTGGCCACATCTCTCACAGACCCTCCCCGCTCCCTTTCCCTGGGCTCCCAGGTACACTGGCCTCTCCCTTCAGCCAACCCGCTCAGCCTGTTCCCGACTTGGGGCCTTTGCACGGGCTGTTCCTCGGCCTGCAGTTCTCTCCGCCTGAACTGCAATAACTGCTTCCCTCACGTCATTTGCTTCTCAGTGTACCTGCCACCTCCTCTAGAGAGGCCCTCACCAACTAACCAGCCCAAAGAAGCCCCCCTTTTCCAAATTACAAGGTTTTAGCCCTCTGCATAGTACTGATTACTAGCAGTTTTTTTTTTTTTTAAAGATTTTATTTATTTATTTGAGAGAGAGAGAGAGCATGAGAGGGGGGAGGGTCAGAAGGAGAAACAGGCTTCCCGCCGAGCAGGGAGCCCGATGCGGGACTCGATCCAGGGACTCCAGGATCATGACCTGAGCCGAAGGCAGTCGCTTAACCAACTGAGCCACCCAGGCACCCCACTACCAGTTTTTTTCTTGTTTATTTATTGCCCAATGTAATATAAGTTTTATGAGAACAGGAACCTGGTTTGTCTTGTTCACTGCCGTGTCTGAGTGCCTGGCACATAATAGATGTTCATTCAATAAATGTTTGCCGAACGAACGTCACGTCTTCCTTACTTTAGGCCTGCGGTTGCTATCCGTGAGCTGATGTCCACTCAGATGCTCGATTACTCCTCTCACATGGCTGCATTTCTGGGAGCCCCGGGCCCGTGTGATAGTGTGGTCCCTGAAGAGCACATCTGGAAAGGAGGCTAGAGCCTGAGAAGACAGTAACCTCAAAAGGAGGTTAGAGCATGAGAGAACATTAGCCGGCGACTTTTGTGGAATTTCAGGGAGTTTGGAATCTGGGAGCTGATGCCTGAGGGCCTCTGTTTTTGTGGTGTGGTTGTTGAGGAGTGGGTATAGTTGCCTCGTTTCTATGAACATGGACTTTGTGGTCAGGAAAACCTGGGTTCAAACCCTGGCACTGCCATAGATTGCTCTGAGACCCTGGGCAATACTTCCACTCTCTATACCTCAGTTTCCCCATTTGTGAATTGGGGATAGTAATAATACCTACAACAACAGAACTGTTGGGGCGCCTGGGGGGCTCAGTCGATTAAGTGCCTTCGGCTCAGGTCACGATCCCAGGGTCCTGAGATCAAGCCCCGCATCGGGCTCCCTGCTCAGCAGAGAGCCTCCTTCTTTCTCTCCCTCTGCTGCTCCCCCTGCTGTGTGCTCTCTCTCTCTGTCAAATAAATAAATAAAATCTTAAAAAACAACAACAACAAAACAGCCAACAACAGAACTGTTGAGAGGTGTAAATGAGATGCCTGAATGTATTAGGCAGATGGTAAGCCGCCCCATAAGTGTTAGCTATTATTATTGGGGTGGTTGTGGTGGTTGTTTTATACCAAGAGGGGAAAAATATGAATAGCACTGAGAAGAAGAAGAAGAAGAAGAAGAAGAAGAAGAAGAAGAAGAAGAAGAAGAAGAAGAAGAAGAAGGAAGAAGAAGAAGAAGAAGAAGAAGAAGAAGAAGAAGAAGAAGAAGAAGAAGAGGAAGAAGAAGAAGAAGAAGAAGAAGAAGAAGAAGAAGAAGAAGAAGAAGAAGAAGAAGAAGAAGAAGAAGAAGAAGAAGAAGAAGAAGAAGAAGAAGAAGAAGAAGAAGAAGAAGAAAGGAAGGAAGGAAGGGAAGAGAAAGGGAAGAAAAAGTATAGCCATACTCAAAATAAGAAAAATGCAAGCTAGAGGTACATGGAGATGGCATTCGTCACCTTCCAAATTGGCAAAGCCTAGAAAGTCGGCTAACACTGTCGATGGAGATATAAGGAGGCAGGCAGGAGAGTGAAGTAGGTACAACCAGCTTCCTGGAAAGAATATTGGCAATAGCTAACGAAATTACACAAGAGCATTCCCATTGGCCCAGCTAATCCCCTTCTAGGAATTTATGCTACTGATACCTGGGCACACATGCAAAATGATGTATGTAAAGGTTATTCATTACAGCACTGTTTGAGTGTCAAAATATTGGAAGCCACCTCTATGTCCGTGAGCAGGGAAATGGTTAAACAAATCATGGGGTATCTATATCATGTAACCAATAAAATAAGAAGGTTCCTTCATGCACTCATGTGGAACACTCTCCAAAATTGATTGTTAGGCGAAAAAAGCAAGGTGTAAGATCCAATGTATAGTTGAAAATAGCAAAAAGCAGACAGCAGGGGGAAATGTACATGTTTATGTATTCTTTTGTCTAACCAGAACTCTGAATGCCCAATGCCTCTAGCTGATGACTAGTTTTAGCAATGGTGAATTTCTCTTCCCCGTGAATCTGCCTTAATGTCAGAAGGAAATCATTGGTAACAAAGATACTAAATATCCAGACATTCTTTGGGTTCTGTGCTTGATGGTGTAATAGTTGGCTTGCAAAGAGATGCCCACAAGCAGATAATAAACTGTGCCTGTGGGAATGTATATCAGCTTGCAGAGAATGTTCTGAATTTCTCCTAAGTTTTTGAAAACAAATTTTTCTTTCTTGCATTTCTTTCTTTCTAGCCTTAAAAACAAATAGCATGTATCCAGAAGTTTTCTAGCATTATCGTTTTTTGTTTTTTTTTTTTAAAGATTTTATTTATTTATTTGACAGAGAAAGACAGCGAGAGCAGGAACACAAGCAGGGGGAGTGGGAGAGGGAGAAGCAGGCTTCCCGCCAAGCAGAGAGCCCGATGCGGGACTCGATCCCAGGACCCTGGGATCATGACCTGAGCCGAAGGCAGACGCTTAACGACTGAGCCACCCAGGCGCCCTAGCATTATCGTTTTAACTGGGTTCTTTTGGAAAGAAGCAAGCAAGAAAGGGAATATGTTTTTCTTTACATTTCTTTGGCATTCCTTTTAGCTAGCGATTTTCTGCGAGAACCTGAGAGCTTAAAGGAAGGTGAAGTCAGCTTTCCGAAGGGTGCCGCCTCTCCATTTCGACAGTTTATGTACATGACAGCCCCCACCCCACTCCTGCCAAACTGCTCAGCTCTGCCAACTTCCTTACCACATGTTGTCAAGCCTTGTGCATTCTTTTTTAAATTCTTTTTCATTTTAAAAGATTTTATTTTTAAGTAATCTCTACACTCAACATGGGACTTGAACCTACAACCCCAAGATCAAGAGTTGCAGGCTCTACCAGCTGAGCCAGCCAGGAGCCCCCAGCCTATTCTTTGCCTTGCCTCTGACTTCTAAACCCTTGACTCCTGGCAAGTCGGGTTGTTCTGCATCTACTACCTAAGACTCAGGGGATATAGATGGGTGTTGATTGATACTAATTAGTTGATTATTTAATTCCATGAACATTGACTGAGTTCCTCCTATGTATCTCATGCCCTATCAAGTGCTAGAAACTAAGAGAGGAGTCAGAAACGATTCTGATAGTTTTACCAGGTAGCTCACAGTCATTTGGGGAGACAGAACGATAACACAGCATGAGAAGTGCACTAGTGATAGATATGTAAGCACCAGGAAGGTGCGCCTAACCCAGTTTTGGTGGGAAAGGAGTGTTAGGGAGGGGTTCCAGGGGAAGCGAGGTCTGAGAGGAATCTTGAAGGACAAGTGGAAGTTAACCTGAGGAAGGCACGAGGGGAGGAGGCCCTGGAGAGTGAGGGCTTGGGCACTGGAGGCGAGGCCTGGACTGAGGAGGAGCCTTCCATGGTGATGGCCGTGGTACAGTTTCACAAGAGCAAAGGCTTGAAGGTAAGAGCGTGCGTGTGTGCGTGTGTGCGTGCGTGTGTGCAGAACTCAAGTTTAACTAGGGCCTGATGACGTGCGTGCGCAGCAGGATGGGGCAAGAGATGAGGGAATAGAGAGTTTCAGGAAGGAGGAAGTAACCAGTAATGTCAAATGCAACAGAGGGCCATTGACTAACAAGTAGCAAGTCACGGGTGACCTTTTCAGAGAAGTATCTCAGGAGCAGTAAGTCCTGAGCCAGGTACTGGTACACTGAAGAATAAAAGGGAGAATGTAGGACTCCGATAATAGTTAACATGGACCAGCTTCTGTATGACGAGGTTCTGCATTGACACGTTGATTCTCACAACAGCCTGAGAGGTAGATAGTATCCATAGCCTTATTTTACAGAGGAGGAAACTGAGGCACAGGAAGGTGAAGCAAAAAGTCCTATAGTTACAAATGGCAGAACTGGGAACTAAAATTTCCAGAATCTAAACTCTTGACCACAAAGAAGCTGGAATTCCAGAAATGAGGCACTTGCCAGAGAGCGACATGAGGCCAAGGTTATTAATTTTTATTATTTTTTTTAAGGCTGCTGGAGCTTGGAGAACGTTTATAGACTGAAAGAAAGGTGCCTGGAGACATGGAGAGAGTGACGATTAATAGAGCAAGGTCCAGGAAGATAAGGCTGAACCCTGGATGTGGCAAGAAGAATGTCACTGGTAACCCTCGAGACTGCAATTTCTGCAGCGTGGGGGGTGGGAAGGAATCCAGATGGAAGCAGAGAGAGGAGAGCAAGGCCTTAACAGCTGCTCTTAGAGCAGAAGGGGTGGGGATGGCTGTGGGTAGGATGGAAACAGCCAGGCCACAGAAACAGCAGAAAGGCACACGAGGGTGTGACTCACACAAATCTGCGTTTTGGAAAATGGAAAGTTCAGAAGCTGAGAGGCCAGGGCTTAGGGTGATTGCCTGTCCCAAAGAACATCCATGCTTTGAACTAGAAACAATACTTAAACTGACCTCCGCTGGATCCCCGAAGGCAGACTGACCTTTTCCATCCTCAAACTTCTTCGCAAGAGTGGACACTTAATTCTAATTAATTATTTATGACCCTTATTATTAGCCAAGAGGTGCTGGTTTGGCGATTGGCATTTAACAATTCTGAGTTATGTTCTGATGATGATAACTTCTTGCTAACCGTGATCATTATGTTGTATTGAGCTGTGCGTGTGTGTGTTTAGCCCTGCGAAAGGCATCAGCCTCCGGACCTTTATACCGAGCGTGCGTGAGGCTGGACCATTCCGTGACTTGCCTGACCTCTATGTCCCAGCTAGCATATAAACCCACATCCGTTAGACTCTAAGACCAATAGCTCGGCCACCAGGTGAACATACCTGTAATCCCAACTTTCCATCAGATTTCTTTTTGAGGAGGAATTTCCGGTTCTCGTTGCCTCGCCGGAGGCGCAAGGAGGAATTTCAGATGAAGGGCTTGTAAGACTCTCCACGAAAACAGGATATAGCTGCTGTTTTATACTTTCTTTGCTTCAAAATACATAAAATGCGTTATTTTTAAAATTTAAGAATTTTTTATTAGGCAAAATTCAAATGTGTATTTCAGATAAATAAACACCACCCAGAATTAACTGTCACGTGTTGCTACATTTCCCCCTGGATTTTCTATAGGCCTATACAGCATGTGTATGTATATGTGTGTGCAGATATATTTCTTTACGTAAAGAACACCATTGTCGGGCGCCTGGGTGGCTCAGTTGGTTAAGCGGCTGCCTTTGGCTCAGGTCATGATCCTGGAGTCCCTGGATCGAGTCCCGTATCGGGCTCCCTGCTCGGCAGGGAGTCTGCTTCGTCCTCTGACCCTATCCCCTCTCATGTGTTCTCTCTCTCTCATTCTCTCTCTCTCAAATAAATAAATAAAATCTTTAAAAAAAAAAAAAGAACACCATTGTGAACGTATGCACACATAAAAATATAGTTTTCAACACCATTTTTGATACTTGCCTTGAAATACTTTTCTAACCCACTTACCGATGCCACAGCATGCTTGGGAAGATAAATGATCATGAATAAGAATATTTTGCAATTTATTTGATAGATGCTAGGAGGAAGTCTGTTCAGATTTTTTATAATTTGTATTGGAGCGCCTCACTCTTCCATATAGATCGGAGGGTGGTAGAGTATAAGGGTTAAGCGTACAGACTTTCAGAAGCCAGACTGTCTGGGCTGAATGCCAGCTCCCAGTTTCCCCATTTATTAGCTGCGTGACCTTGAGCAACTTGCTTATCCTCTCAGTGCCTCAGTTTCCTGATCTGTATAAAGGGGAATCATAGTATCTAAATGAGTTAGCCCATGTAACATGCTTAGAACAATGCCAGGCCCTCGTAACACTCAATGTTTCTGTTTCAAAGTACATTCATCTGTATTATGTAAACATTCAAGCTGGTGAGTCATTTAATCCAAAAACCCAGAGTCCGTTTGACACAGCTGAGGCAGAGGTAGACGTTTTTCCAGTTGATTCCTGCTGTGGGGTCTGGGAATCTGTATTTTTACAAACCTCTCCAAGTGAGTGAGTCTTAGGACCAGCCGGGTTCATAAGCCACGGGTCTAGAACCCTGGACACAGTTGGACAGAAGTTGGATGGTGGGCGAGACCAGAAAGATTCAGAACAGTGAGTTTGAGATGGCCCCACCCAGACACACAGTGGCCCTTTGTTTCTAGCATGGCGGCGTGATGTGATATTTAAAGCTGGAACTTTGTCAGCTGAAAACCAGTTGAGATAAAGAGGGCCAAAGTAATGAAAAGGTGGAAGAAACCTGTAGACAGAGTAGGTTTCTTTCTGGAGTTAATCAGTACTTTATTTTAGGGATATTTTTTCTACTTTTGGTTCCTTTTGGTTTTGTCTAGCTTATTTTAAAAAGTATTCAGACATACATTTTGCCCTTCTTATGATATGGCTACGGTTTATTTAGTATGTGGTGGGCACTGTGCTAGCGTTTTTTGGTTTTTTTTGTTTTTTTTTTTAAAGATTTTATTTATTTATTTGACAGAGAGACAGCGAGAGCAGGAACACAAGCAGGGGGAGTGGGAGAGGGAGAAGCAGGCCTTCCGTGGAGCAGGGAGCCCGATGCGGGACTCGATCCCAGGACCCTGGGATCATGACCTGAGCCGAAGGCAGACGCTCAACGACTGAGCCACCCAGGCGCCCTTGTTTTTTTTTTTTTTTAATTAATTAATTTATTTATTTGAGAGAGAGAGAGAGAAAAACAGCATGAGAGGGGATAGGGTCAGAGGGAGAAGCAAGCTCCCCACTGAGCCGGGAGCCCGATGCGGGACTCGATCCTGGGACTCCGGGATCATGACCTGAGCCGAAGGCAGTCGCTTAACCAACTGAGCCACCCAGGCGCCCTGTGCTAGCGGTTTTTAGGCTTTATTTCATGTAACCTTCCAGCTGGCTGTAGGAGATTTGTACCATTGTTCCCATTGTACAAATGAAAAAAACCTAGAATTGGGGGAAGTTAAATAACTTGCACAAGGTGCAATATACATTCTCTCTTTCTTCTTCAGTAAACAAGGCTATTTGGGGTGGTAATGCGCCCAGTGAAAAAAACTGCAAATGAGAGTACTGTGTGGGTCCTCTGGGAAGGTTCTTTAAAGAGTATTAACCCTGCCATGAGGTCCTTCTTCATCCCTTCTTCCTGATGCCTGGAATGCAGACATGGTGATAGGAGCTTCAGTAGCCATCTTGTACTTCGAGGCTATAAATTACGTATTAGATGGTAGTGGAGAAAGAAGGAATTTCGGTCCTTGATGACTTTGGAACTGCTACATCTGCCCTGGGCTGCCTAGCTCTAACATGTATGAGAGATAAATAAACTTCTATCTTGTTCAAGTTTCTTTTATCAACCAACAAACACAATCCTAACTATAATAATAGCTCATGCTTACAGTGTGCTTTATCAAAGCACACATGCCAGACACTTTTCTAAGTTGTTTCTATATATTGACTAACTTTGGCCTCACAACAACCTAAAATGTAGGTGCTGTTGTTATTCCCATTTTGCAAATGTGGAAATTGAAGCAAAGAGAGATTCAGTGACTTAGCCAAGGTCACCCAGATAGAAGTGGCAGAGCCAACAACACACAGCTAATAGGAATTAGATGTGGGAGTAGAACTCAGGTCTGTCTGACACCAAATCCATGTAACAATTGTATTATCCTTGTAACAACTGTAACTGTATGGTCTCTTTCATACTCAGTATGAATATGGCGCACTTTGTGGTTTTCCTTACCCCAATTTTACCTTCTCCTTTAATTGACAAAATGGAGGACCACTAGCTATGGCCATTAGAAGGAGACCCATGGTTTCTCCAAAAGATCAAAACAGACTTATTAGGACCCACCTAAGTTCCCTTACTCCTTAGTAAAACCTCCAAAAGAAATGTCATGGATGGATTCCAAAAAGTTAATTACTTTAAAAAGCATTCATGGAATCCGATTAGCCGTTGCTTCCATTACAAAATTGTTTTGCTTCTTTCATCATCAAATAGAACTCCATCATAAACAGAATTGAGCTATCCATCCACCCGATCATTCATTCAACAAACATTCAGCACCTGTTCTGCGCCAGGCACTCTCCCCTGAGCTGGGATACTGCAGCAATGACAGACAAGGTAGAATTCACATTCTGCAGAAAGCAAGGCAGAAAATGAACCAACTAACAAATACAGACACAAGAAAATATCAGGGGCAAACCTGTGAGGCAGAGGAAGGAAGTGGTAGAGGCTCCTTTAGGAAGGTTTCACTGAGGAGGAGATATTTGAGCTGAGACTTGGTAGTGAAAAGGAAGTGCCTTGGAAAGATCAGGGAAGGGCCTTCCAGACTGAGGGAACAGTGATGTCCTGGGGTCGGAACGAGTGTGGCATGTTCAACCATGAAAGAAGGCCCATGTGACGGGAACATGAGCAAGGGAGAATGCATGGGGTGAGGTCCAAAAGTCTGATGGGCCCCATCATGCCAGCCGTGAAGGCCCAGTTAGGGGATTTTGCTCTAAGTGGCGGGGGAAGCTATTGAAGGGTTTTAGGCAGCATGGCAGACGTTTGTCACTCTGGCTGGCCAGCACGCCAACGCTCTTCTTCTTCTTCTTTTTTTTTTTTTTTTAAAGATTTTATTTATTTATTTGAGAGAGAGAATGAGATAGAGCATGAGAGGGTCAGAGGGAGAAGCAGACTCCCTGCCGAGCAGGGAGCCCGATGCGGGACTCGATCCAGGGACTCCAGGATCATGACCCGAGCCGAAGGCAGTCGCTTAACCAACTGAGCCACCCAGGCGCCCGCCAACGCTCTTCTTATTTGTGATAATCACAAAAGTAATGGAAGGCAGGGTCCCAATTCTCGCTATGGAAGCCAAGGCTTAGAAGGGACATTTAGAACAAGGCCAATCTGATGCCCCACTGTGGGACTCTGCATCATGAGGGTGTGTCTCAAAGATGCAAGGCCAGTTAGAAATTATTAGGGCGGCCACTGTGCAGTCAGGAGTGCACAGGGATGCGTGCACACGGGCAGCGGAGTCCGGCATATGGTGATCAATGGCCACTGGCTCCTGGCTGCCCTAAGCGTTCTGTGGAAGGCAAGCAGGGACTGCATCCTCAGCAAACCATTCCAGGAGCTTCACCGTGCATGCCTTCCTCTGTACTTTGGTCTCCAGTC